GGCACTGTACAGCTTAAAGAGGCCGTAAAGGCAGCTTTGGACATTGTGCTGTCTAGTCAGGCAGTGTACTAACTTTACATTAATTTGTGCACCTCTGTGCATGTTTTGTATTTGACTTGTACATAAGTTATAGGTGAACTGTTGACCTATTTTGTGACTCTGTTTTGTGAGCTGCATGGTAAGTTTATAAAGACAAAGTAAAGAAATCATACATGTCACAAAAGTAACTTTATTGAGCAGTGCTATACATCAAAATACTTCTAAAATATTGAAAATGGAAACAAAGTGTCACATACAGATCGTTTGTAAATGAATTGCAGATCAGTGTACATACATTCACATCTATTCATCTTATGTTCCACTGGGATTGAGTGGAAGGAATACCATTCACTTGGTGGGAAGGGTTTATATACCTTAGGTCCCAAAAAGAATTATCCATGCAATGCAATGGCTGCTGGATGCAAGTCTGGTTGTTTTGCTCCTTCATGCTTTGTAATATCTGTTTTAGGAGTTGCATGGTGTCTTGGTTCCCAATGTACCTCTTGTTCTTTCTGGTGTCTTGGTTCCCAATGTACCTCTTGTTCTTTCTGCTTTTCCTCCAGCACGCATTCCCTTTATCTTTTGTTGTGTACACCCTAAACAAGGTGCTCTTGAAAAATGCCCCCAAAGAAAAATGTCTTTCCCGGTCCATTTCTTCTTCCTTTTAATTACAGTCACTGTTTCAATTGGTGTGGATGGAGTGTCTCTTGTGGACAGCCTAGCCATGGTCACTGACAAATAACATACCAAACAGATACAGTCAGATTTAAGGCTTAGCGGATAAGAAAAAACATCCCCATTGCCTCAGGCTATGAACAAATTAAAAGTGAAGTCCCCAAACCAGGAACAAAATGCATCTACTAGGGCTGTGCAAAATTTTGCCACCAGTTTTGTTTCAATGCTGTTTCGAGGTCAAAACAGAAAAATTGAAATGGAACAGATATGGTTGAAACAGCCTCGAAACTAAACAAGGCAAGTCGAAACATTTCGCTGTTTCAACATTTTGCCCATAGGCTATACAGGGGAAGGATGAAACAGCCTATAACTTTGTCATTTCTGGCCAGACTTGGATGAAACTTGCAAAAATGGTAGCTGCTTCTGAGGGCATGAAGTATGCCAAGTTTCAAAAAGATAAGTGCAGGGGGGTTGGAGAAACTGCAACCCAAAGTCTTGAGAGCCAAACATGTGTCACATGTATGTGTTAAGCCATAGTGGGGTCAAAACTGCAGGCATGCTAGCCCCTGTGGAGGCCACAAAGCCTGCTAAGTTTCAAGGAGATAGGTGCAGGGAGGTTGGGGAAACTGCACCTGAAGCTGCGGACAAGCAAAACTCGTGACATGGGTGACACTGTGTGTGTTAAGGCACAGCAGGCTGAAAGCTGCAGGCCTGATAGCCCCTGCTGAGGCCACAAAGCCTGCCAGCTGTCAAGGAGATAGGTGCAGGGGGGTTCTGGGGCCATGCACCTCTGGCTGCTGACAGGCAAAACTTGTGACATGGGTGCTTGTGCAACTGCTGCCTCATCAGGCAGCAGGACTGAAGATCCCCCATCACTTGCCACCACAGACCTGGGGGTAATAATTGATCACAGTATGAACATGAGCTGGCAGTGCGATGCTGTAGCCAGCAGGGCCAACAGTACAGTGGCATGCATCAATTGATGCACCTCCAGCAAAACCATTGCAAAGAAGTGATTCTCCTGCTCTACTCAGCACTCGTGAGACTGCAGCTGGAGTACTGCATCCAGTTCTGGGCTCCACACCTTAACAAGACCATGGTAAAGCTCGAGAGAGAGAGTCCAGAGAAGGGCTACCCATACAATCAGACTTGCACGGAAAGCCATATGAGGAAAGGCTGAGGGACCTGGGACTCTTCAGCCTGAAAAAGCAAAGGCTGAGAGGGTAGCAGCTTACCGCTACATTAGAAGCATACATCTAGGGCTCGGTAAACAACTGCTCACCAGGGCACCCTTGGGGAAAACTAGGAGTAATGGTCACAGTCTGGACACCCTAGTTGAGAAGCAGTTTTTCCTAATGCTGAGCCTGAAGTGAGCCTGAAACGATCTTCCAGGAGTTTGTGACCATTATTCCTAGTTTCAGTCCTGCTGCCTGACAAGAGGCAGCAGTTGCACAAGCACCCATGTCACGAGTTTTACCTATCAGCAGCTAGGGGTGCAGGGCCCAAAACATTTTGATGGAACGGAAAGGAACAGCCATTTTGAATAGAAACAGAAGTTGAAATGGAACACTTCCATTTCGCACAGCCCTAATATCTACCTATTCCTACTCCTAGAATCTGAACACAACATGCAAGTAATGCCACCGGAACTTAGACTCAAACTGGAAAAAACAAAGCACAGTGTTTTTTTATGTTCATATGATGTATTTACTGTATAGTTCCATTCATAAATATCACCTAGTCTAAGCAAACAGCTACTGGACTGCTTGCAAGCATTATTTTAAATTTTCGACATACTTTGTTTGTGTGATCAGGTATTGGTTTCAGTGGATTTCTTTTCCTGTTTGCAATGTATTAATTTAGGTTGCTAGAAATTCTGCCTGCCCTTGCAAAAGGAAACATTTCAAAATGTTTAGGGGCGATTCAAGTAGTTTCTCTCTTATTTTGCTTATTACTGCCAATTCATGTTCTTGAAATACAACTAGCAACTTCAAAAGGCAATGCCTGGCCCATGTGCATCCAACCCCATTTTCAGAAGGGAATGAATGGTAATCAGGGGAAGTTTTGGAGCCAATTAATGAAGTAAAAGAAAAAAAGTGTTACTACACCAACCTGATTTCCATTTCTCTCAGCCTGAGTCTGGTTCAGCAGCTCTTCGTGAGTTACTGGTTCTCCACACAGTCTTCATCATCTCTTTCTCTTCTCCTGTACAGTTCTGTGGTTCCTTTCCCTGGACACTGCAATCTGCCTGCTGCCATTCACAGTGCAGTAGTAGGGTCCCTGCTCAGTATGTCATCCAGCACTGCTGAGTAGGAGCTAGAATGCTGAGCAGCTCCAAGTTATCTGTTGGCCTTTTTGCCTTTTGGTACAATTGCTGCAGATCTTTCACCTTTGCCCTTCATTGTTGCACACCCAGTTTTTGCATGTCTCTTGCAGTGTCCACCTAAGCACCTCAATTCCTAAGGCCACTCTACAGCCTGCTTTGCACTGCTCCTCTTTATTAGGAAAGGGAATACAAGACTTACTTCCTAGACTGTGCTACAGCATGAGACTTGCCTGAACTTTTTTGCATCATAGCCTTATCTGGTGCCATAGCTGTGTGCTATGATAGCAAAAGTGTGTTCACAGCAGTGGGTCAACCAGAAGTAAGATACTTACAAAGCATACTAGGAATTTTAAAATTCCACACTGTGACCCCTCCCTGGGAAGCAAAGTTCACAACTGGGACCAGAACTGTCTTTAGTTATGGGATTTAGGCTGAAGGACTTTTTGCACTGGTAGATATCAGACAGTTTAGGTTCATCATCACTGTAGTGGAAGAACAGTAATATTACAGAATTTATGCTATTCACAGAGGCAGCTTAATTTGACCAAGGTAAGTTAAGGCTTTTACAGAATGATTCTGAATCCATGCAAAGGAAGTTGACATAAGGCATGGTTTACTGGTACAATATTGCAGTGTAGACTAGGCCTCCACTAGAAGAAAGCCACACTCAGTATAACTAGTAAGTAATGGGGTCTTCCCTGTTGTATGGCTCCCAGGACGGGGAACACTGAGGTCAGAGACTGGCTATGCCTATTGTAATAATGGTTATCCATAATGTGGAGGGGAGGTGTGCAGCAGTCTTTGCTTTGGAAAGCTCCAGGAGTAAAGTTACTGCCATGCTGCTCAACCATCACCTCCAGAAAAGCCACATTTAGATAACTAGTACTTGCTCATGCCTCGGACTTCAGCCAGGATTAACATAATTTTCTTTATAGTACTGTACTACAGTGGTAAAGAAAAAGCTCTACTAGGCACTGCTTTTTTAAAATCATACTCTGCTTATGCACTCTGTATGATACTGGAACATAAATCATTATGCAACTGGTTTTGAAAGGAAAACTCCATTTTTTTGGCAAACTGATCCTTATAAAATCAGTTATTATGAAATAAAGATTGAAGCACAGGGCTTTTCTTAAGCATTAATGGATAGTTGGGAGGTTGGTTGTAACTGTGTTGGTCTGGCTAGTTGGGAAGCGTCTAAAGTCCTAAGTAGTAGCTTAGATCCTTAAAATTTAGTTGGTTATTCATCCTAAAGAAATGCCCCCATGTTTAAATCACTATTGCCATTACAGGCTAAACAATGGTGATAGAAATAATCATTAAAAACAGAATTGTCTAAATCCTCTTTAGTACGTGATGCAATGTCAAGGGGCACACAGCTATTCTATGAATGCTTGCTTCACCCAGTCAGAGCTGTGTGTGAAGGCTGGATTTTTATTACAGTGTAAATAACTACAGTATAGTATGCCATGCCATAAAACCACAGAACAATTATGTAATTATTTGTCTGCATGTACTTTTCTATCCTGTGATTTGAGGTCCAAATTTGGAAATTTGGGTACAGGGTAAAAAAGAAGATATAAACTGCATAGTTTACTGATGGAATTCATACCTACATATGGGATGACAGCTCTAGAACCATCCCAGACAGAGAGCTCCTGAAGAAGAAAAACTAAGAGGGCAGTCACAACAATATGAAATAACCATATAATCCCTTCCTCAGTCAGGGTCAAAAAAAAAAAAAAAAAAAAA